ACCCTGCTACGGAACAGACCCGGGTTCGATTCTCGGCTGGTGCATCATGCGATGATGATCTTTGTGTTAAATAGTTGATCAACATTTATTGTATTTTCTCATAATAGCATTGAAGCAAATAATAATTTGTGGGAGTACTAGAATAGTAACCTACCACGGTACTATCCCGAGTTCGATTTCCGATTGGTGCAACATGCAATGATGATCTGTGTCAACTAGTTGTTATTCATTATTTATTCTATTTTATGATAATATCATCGAATCATATAAGAACTTTTTGGACTTAATGTAAAAGGTCGGGTGATTGCTGCGATACCTATATTGGTTTGAGGAAACACTAGTGGACTAGTGGTAGAATAGTACTTTGCCACTGTAGAGACCCGGGTTTGATTCCCATTTAGTGCATCATGTTGATGATGATCTTTGTGTTGAATAGTTGATCAACATTTATTCTATTTTCTGATAATCAGAACTTTTGGGACTTAATATAAAAGGTCGGGTAATTACTTCGGCACCTATATAGGTTTAAAGAAGCACTTGTGGTCTAGTGGTAGAATAGTACCCTGTCACGATACTGATTCGTGTTCAATTCTTGGTTGGTGAATCATGCGACGATGATCATATCATATAAGAACTTTTTGGTCTTAGTATTAAAAGTCGAACACAATCCACCCTCTAGGAAGAAGTTTCCCCACCCTTATAACGATATGATGACTTGATAACACAAGCCACCCTCTCTAGGAAGAAGTTTCCACACCCTTATAAAGAATGCTCGTTCCTCTTCCTCTCTCCAACTGATGTGGGATCTCAAAATGCACCCCATTCGGCATCCTCTGTCTTCGTTGGCGTACTGCTCGGTATCCACACCTTCGAAGCCCAGCGTTCTCGTTGACATACCACATAGTGTCCACCCCTTTAGCGTCCTCGCTGGACCACCTAGTGTCCCCTCAAGGTTTTTAAAACGCATCTACTAGGGAGAGGTTTCCACACCCTTATAATTAGTGTTTCATTCTCCTCTCCAACCGATACGAAATCTTACAATCCACCCCCCTTAGCATCCTCGTTAGTACTCGTTCCCCTCTCTAATCGATGTGGGACCCCCTAATGCACCCCCTTTGGCGCCCAACGTCCTCGCTAGCATACTGCCTAGTGTCCATTCCCTTCGGGTCCCAACATCATCGTTGACACACAAACTGGTGTCCACCCCTCCCAATCCACCTCCTTCGTGGCCCAACGTCTTCGCTTCACAGCTTGGTATCCACCTTTCCCAATCCACCACTTTAGATCCTAACACCCTCGTTGGCAGACCGCCTGGTGTTCACTCCCTGCGAGGCCCAACGTCTTTGCTGGCACACCGCCTTGTGTCCACCCCTTTCGGAGCTCAGCCTCCTCGCTGGCACATCCCCTTGTGTCCACCCCTTTCGGAGCTCAGCCTCCTCGCTGGCACATCTCCCATATCTAGCTACGATACCATTTACAACAACCCAAGCCCATTTATGACATGACTAAATTGTATATTAACTTAGAACACGGTTTAAACAAATGACCAAAAAGGCAAAAAAGTAAACCATTTCCTCTCAATTATTACAATCCAACATATATAAGAAGTGTTCCAAAAGAACATGAATCACTCTCTTACAACCTTTAACTCTTTCCTCTTCCTAACCAAATAAAAATGGTTTCTTTGAAAATTCAAAATTGCCCACATAAAATTACAAACATTAACTTCTGGCCAAAGCACAGAAGTAGAATACAAATAACAACAAGAGGTCTGCCACAAGAGAAAATTGCTCAAACGAGCCTCTCCCGACGTGCGAATCAAGAGCTCGGGATCGGGCGTAACCGCAGCGTACATATGCTTCTCGACATCGCCTAATGTTATCAACTTGAGCTCCCCATGTTCATCCACAGCTACTCTTTTTGAGTTCATAATCTCATCCCATTTTTCTTCACAAGCCCTTTCAACAGCATGAACAATCTCATCCGTGGAAGTGTAAGCAACACAGATAGCAAGAACAGCTCCATTGTTGTTCTTGGTGGCTGCCATAGCTCTATCAACAGCTTCCCTCACAGGTTCACTCAACAAATTCAAGTCTCCCAAGAAGTGAAGCCTTATTCCATATTCATACACAAACCCTTCTCCTTTAATCCACAATTCAACCTTTTCCAATATCAAATCCATCACGGCATCAACTTCTTGTGGGCTTCTTTTGAAGTTGTCAATGCTGAAGACGTAGATCGTGACATACGTCACGCCCAGTTCGTAGCAGTACTTGAGCATGAACATTAAAGCTATATACCCAAACTTATAGCCAAACCCTTTCACCAGCTTTTGTTTCTTGGCAAATCTTCTGTTCCCATCGAGGATGAATGCCACATGATTAGGAATTGGACCCATTGAGAGGATTTTGAGGGTACTTCTCTTAATGAAATTAATGGCATGTTCTAAGATCCGAGTAAGTGTAACCCAAAAGGACATCCACACGTTTCCAATTCTCATTTTGCTTGATTGTTTGATGTGTGGTACAAAGGACCTGTCAATGAAACCAAGATTTATTAAGTAGGTAGGTATAGTTATCTCTGCATTTGGACAAACGTCACAATCTATCAATTTCAAACAAACGTGTCTATGCCCACCGCTAGTCGATATTGTCTTTTACGAGATTTTTAAAATGCGTCCGTTAGATAGAGAGGTTTTCATATTCTTATAAAGAATGCTGATATGAAATCTTACATTCCACTCCCCTTTTTGGCCCAACGTTGTCCTTGCTGGCACACAGTTCTCGTCTTTCTTATTTCAATTCACATCCCTAAAAAATTCTCCACTTATTTTCACAAGGTTCATGGGAGGATTCGTGTAGAGAAAAATAATTTTTCTTCATTTTTAATATATATGGGTATATTATGTTTAAAATAATTTTTTAATTAAGAAAAGTAAATCATACTAATAAACTCAATCATTTCCATTTTGTTTCCTAGTTTTAATTAGAGATGTCTTGGGGCGGAGCGGGATCAAGATAGGAAACTGGGAAGTGGATTCCCGTCCAGAGTGAATTTGGACAGAACGAGAGGCAGGGACAAACATGGGGAATGTAACCCCTTCCCTAACTTAGTTTAACTAAGTAGAAATCTAGATAGGTTGACCCGTCACTCCAATCTCACATGTTAAATGGACATCTCTAATGAGTTATACGAAAACGGTGACATGGGTTGTAATTAGGGGTGTACATGGTCCGAGTTGGGTTGGGTTGAATGATTTTTTTGACCCAACCCAAAAGTTCCGGTTGGTTGGATTGGTAACCCAACCCAACCCAATCCAACCCTCTATTTTCGGGTTAGGTTCGGGTTGGGTTGTTAATTTTTTTTGAAGTTTTATTAATCCACATTTTATAATTATTCGGATACAATCTTATATAAAATATATTAAATGTTCCCAAACAAACACAAATCAATTTATAATTATTCAAAAAAAAATCAATGAAAAAACAAGGAGCGAAAATTCTAACCTATTAACATAGTTCAACATTGTCATAACACTAAAAATAACTAAATACAAATTTTTTTTTTTATCAAATAACAAAAATATAAGATAGATAAAAAAAAAAAACAAATTCAATAAAAGACCAGGAGCGAAAATTTTAACAATCTCCATAAAACTAAAGACAATTAAATAGTTTAAGGGTTTTAAAGAGTCGTAAATTATTAGAAAAATAAAAATGTATGTAGATTGAAATATAATAATAGGAAAATAAAAATACAGGAATATAATAGTGTTACAACAAATAAATAATAAATACATTAGAATATACTTAACTACAAATAATTTAAAGGCACCCTACCTAACGAATCAATTGGGATTTGACCAACCCATTAATAATGAGGGATTCTTAATATACTTTATATATTTTTATTTTGATCGAGTAGCTCGAAGGTTTTATCCCACGAACCCAAAACCGAACCGATCTATTTCGAGTTCAGAACCCAACCCTACCCGAAATGCTAATCCAACCCAACCTAACTTTGATAGTTCGGGTTGGGTTGGTCTGGGTTGTCGGATTGAATGTACACCCTAGTTGTAATAAGAAAAACAAACAAAAAAACACTTAATCTTTTAAGTGGAAATATAAAAGAAAGAAGTATTTGGCCGTTCATAGTGAGTGAGTAGCAATGAAGAAGTAGCAAAAATGATAATAAGAACAACACCTCATCGATCAGTTTAATACCCTTTTCAACACCCAAATGAACCGAATCAATTGCCACCGAGAGAGATCCGGCGGCGGCGGAAATGGCGACCAAGAAAGGCCGCCGGAAGTGGAGAAGGACGGCGAAGAATGCGGAGGAAGAGAATGGGGAATTTGTCTCCTAATTGAATCCCTATATATACATAATTTAATAGCCATAAACAAAATGGTTATGTTTTTTTTTTTAATAAATAAAAAAATAAACCGACCAATTTTGTTACGACCCATGTCCAAGACTTGGAATTCAAATTCGGCACTTGATATCCCTGATATTCCCTTGTGTCTCTTGTGACATAGACACGTTACTTATTCCTTGCTTCTAAGAGTGAAGACTGTCCCCACAAACCAACACGAGTCCATTACGTACTCATCACTTCTAAGATTAAAGACTATCTCCATAAATCAATACAAGTCCGTTATGTACTCCTCGCTTTTAAGGGTGCAGGTTACTTTCTCCTTGCTTCTAAGAGTGAAGGCTATCCCCACAAACCAATACGAGTTTGTTACTTACTTATTGCTTTTAAAAGTGAAAACTATCTCCACAAACCACACGAGTTTTTTCAGTATGTTATTGTCTACATGCATCTCCACAAATCAAAGTTAGTTTAACTATGAAATTATTATAATTGAGCTACCGAAAAGAAAGGTGCACCTTATTGTTGACATAGGCAGTGACTTTCAATTCTGAGTGTTTCTTAGTCATTCTATTCGTAGAATTACTCTTATTTGAATGTAGTCTCGTTTCGTTCGTGTACCCTTCCTTTACTCGAGTACTTTGAAAAGGTAACTTTTAGTCCTCGAGCAAAAAATATATATATATATTTTTACATCTCTGTTAGGGGTGAAATTAAAAGATAAATATATACCATTTATTATTATTTCGAATTTCAATATCATAAAACAAATCGAATTATTAATTTATTTATATAAAAATCTAAAAAAGACAATTATATTAAAACAAATTTACTATTAATAAATAATAGTTATTATATTTATTGTACTATCTAATATAGCAATGAAATGTCAATTTATTTAGGCTATTGAGATAATACCAAACCTAACTTAAAAATAATAGCTTAAATTTGAGCATGTGTTAAATACTTTGTAAAAATAGAATTAAAAAAAAAAAAAAAAACTCAAAAATATTCAATTATATTGTACTATCTAATATAGCAATAAAATAATGATATATTAGCGGTGTACATGGATTGGGTTGAAAAAATCTTTTAGACCAACACAAAATTTCGAGTTGGTTGGATTTATGACCCGAGCAACCTAAGTAGAGTTCACAACCTGACTCGACTCAATTCAACCCTCTATTTTTTTTTTTGTTGGATTGGAAGAATTTTTTTTAATTATTAAAAAGATTATATTTATTTACGTCACATTAATAAATAAAATATTATAAATATAAAGTTCAAATTGGAAAAATTTACAAGTCACAGTCCATCACCAATATCGATTACAAACGTCAAACTGGTCGGGTTGACACGACTAAAAAAGTGTTAACCTATGAACTAACTCAAATTTTTTATTTTTCGGAAATCTAATCCAACTCAACCAATATAGTTTGAGTGAGTAGTCTCGATTAATTAGATTATTGGGTCATATGAACACTGCTACACCATAGGATATATTTGATAAAAATTAAGAAAAAAAAATTATAAATATGAAACGTTTTATGAAGAGTGAGAAATTTAATAGATTAAAGAATTTAATTAATAGTCGGTTGGTAAATAATTCATTAAAGAATTTAAATAAATAAATAAATAATTAATTAATTAGGTTTTTGTATACGGCATTGTTGTACTGAAATGTAGGGACAGCTTAACATTTAGTGTTGAAGTTAGAGAAAGTGAGTTAATTTCTACTCCGTCAACTTTGAGTATTATTTTTTTTTTTTCTGTGGTTTATTAATTATGAGATTTTTTTTAAAAAAAAAGTAGGTGAAGTAGTCCAGTTGATTCGAGTTAGGTGGGAAAAGATGCAAAAATTAAAAAGATAGAAAGAATTGAAAATCGTGATGAATTATGGACTTCTGAATAGGCACGAGGATGAAAGACAGGTGCCACGTGACAGATAGCGTCATGCGACTAGCCGAGTAATGAGGGAGACACGTCGGAGTAGAGAGAAGTCACGTGTCGCCATGTAGTTAGTCAGAGGAATCGGACCCGCACCTGAGAACTGGCTTGTGGTCCAACCCTCTTCGTCTAACCCAAGAACCATGGCGTGACCTGGTTCAATACCCTCGACTCAATTTGCCCGCCTAAACCGACTCAACCAAGAGTCGTCTATCTGCGTGTGCCACGTGTTGCACAAGGAGCACGTGTCTCCTTCCTAGGCGCGCATATGTACTTGCACGTGGGAAGCCCTCCAAGCATATGGAAGCACGTGAACACGCGTGGTGAGTCTAATTTTATCTCGTTCAACCTCTATTTGACTGTTTCCTACTCCGTACTTGTAGGGATTGTTAGGATGTGCAATCATGCGAGCATTTTTTACCTAAGTGATTAGAATATGCATGTCTAGAATTTGAGAATGGCAATTTTGGATGAATATGCATGAAAATGACAGAAATCCCCTAAGATGAGATCTCCAGATGCATACTAATTTTGAAGTTTACTACTAAATTAGGATGGGAATTTGAATGTTTAGAACAAAAGTTGGGCAATTTGGGTGAGTAAGCTATTTATAATGTAAGAAATTATGGAAATCTCCTTAGGACGAGATTTGCATTGTATGGTATTTTAAATGCTTTCTGCTGTGATAGAATGAATGATGAGTCTTTGTGATTTGTACTCTTGATATTGATAGATGTTATCTCCTTGTATAGCTTGTATAAATGTTTAGTTTATGGAGTGGTATTGATTCATTTTATAGAACTAGAGTAATATCGAGTTAACCGAGAATAGTATGTTTCCAGTAGACTGGGTAATGTAGGATCGTGAGTAGCAATCAGAGGTCTAGACCTATATGCACCCAGAGATAGATTAGCTCCAAGGAGTTGATCCTAAACGTTTTAGAAACGAGCAGAGAACCCATTGCTATCTCGACTATGCTACCGGAGGCTCTGGGGAAGTCGGATTTATACCGCCTAAACACCCCTAAGAACCTAGTGAACTACCATGACACCTAAGAATGTCAAAGGTAGCTTTCCATGCCATTAGTAGTATGTACGGTGTCATTGGAACCTCCACTAGTAGCTCTCAAGGTTGTTAGCTTTAACAGCCATTAGAATCTCCATCACCTTTCCACTTTA